ATTAGATACTTTTTTTAAAATAATTTTAATAACACTAGTGATATATGTATTGGTTGAGTTTTAGAACTTTTACATTGTGTTGTATTTGATTATAATGTATTTGAGATATTGTTTATATTTTAATATTATGTTAAAAAAATTATTTTTTGAATTTATTGTGAAGCTATATTTTAATTTATCAATTAAAGAAATGCAATGTTTTATTTTTTTTAAATTGGTGACAATTAGAATAATGTGACATATATGATGAGAGTCTCAATGATATAATTTTACTTTTTTCATAAAAAAATAATTTATATTTATTTGATCAATACTTATAAATATATTATATGAAATATGTTATGAGACAAAATTAACTGAATTTCAAGATATATGTGGATAATAAGACCAATAATTTTAATCTTACTGATTCCGAGAAAAATATTTTTTTATTAATATGAGATAATTACATGATAATATATGTTTAAATATTACTTTCAACCTTTTAATATTGACCGCTCGTATTTCTAATGTTGAAACCTAAGAATCTCAATTCGTTACCGAGACTCATTCCATCCGGCCCAACAATTGTTTAACGGGCGGAGTTATTGTCATGGCAATAAAATAGCCCAAGTCAAGTCAAATCCACCCTTTTATAATTCTCTCAATCCCCATGGTAAGGCAATTACAATTCTGTTTAGGGTTTACACAGGACTAAGCACTATTGATTTTCGCCGCCTTGATGAAGGCTTCGGCGGCAAAACTTACAAGCGAAAGCGCCAAGAATCTCAGATTGCTGCCGATACTGTCAATGTCAACGAAGCTACTGTAGCCTCCTCCTCCTCCATGGATGTCGATGATTCTTGTTCTCCACCCGCAAAGCGTTCGGCCGTGCCTTCCTCTGAAGACCCCAATAAACCTACCTTTGGCCAACCCACCTACGATGGCGTGATCGCGGGAAGGGTGTCGGGTCGGAACTGGAAGCAACCTAGAAAGCAGCTTGCGTCGGCGAAGAACGTTAGTATAAAGAGGCCGAGTCTGGAGGAGAGGGAGAGGCAGAAGGAGATAAAGAGAGCTTATAGAGAGAGGGTTAACGAGTTGAAGGAAGAGATAAGGCTAAACAAGGTGGAGAAGAGGAAGAAGAGAGAGGAGAGAGAAGAAAAAGAAGGAGAACATATTGAGGTCTGGAACTAAGTTTCAGAAGATTACAAATCCTAAGACTCTGAAGAAGATTGCCAAGTCCAAGCAAAAGAAGTTGCTTCAAGTTGTCCCTGATGAATTCCTTAACAAGAAATCCAAGTAATGATAATTAATAGAAAAACCCCTTTATTAGTTTCAATTTTGTCTTCTTTTTATTTTGTTATATGTGCCTTGTTGTTTCCTTGGGATTAGTGACTTTGAAATTCTGTATTTGGTTTCTTTTGAAGAGGAGTTAAATGGTGTGTTGGAAGGAGAAGATAAATGGAATCATATTATGTCATGAGCAGTCTTCTGTCCAATACAAGTTTCACCACTGAATGAACCTGTGAAATCCTTGTCTGTTTAACTCCGAATAACTATAAAATGGAAATAAAACAGCTAGGGTTGTAAACGAGATTGCTGAGCTAAACTTGAAAGTATAAAATTGAACTTAACTCCATTAAAAAAACTCATGAGCTTATAATTGTTATAATGGTTAAGTTTGATTCGAGTTCAGAATCAAAATTGAAACTTGATATGAGCTTGAAAAAAAAAATTACATTCAAAACATTTTTTTACTTAGTTCGATTGAAGCTTGAATTTGAGTTCGATTTAAATTTGAACTCGAATTTAAACCTAAATTTCTATTGCATGAAATTCTTATATTACATTTTAAATAAACGATATATAAATTTGAATGTTATTAATAATTTAATTTAAAAATTAAAATTTAACATATTATATTTTAAAAATTATTCATGAACTTTTCGAGTCGAATATTAAGCAGTTCATTTCGATTTGTTAAGTATTTGAGTCTAGTTCAAACTTGAATATAGTTCATTCGATTTGAATGATAAATGAGTCAAAATAAAATAGCTTGTGCTCTGTTTTGTCTCGTTTACAGTATTAAAACAATAGTTTACTATCACCTCAGCTACTAGAGAGACCTTATACACAGGTGAAATCAATTATGCAACGGAATCCCTTCTATAAACTACCAATAATCCCCAATCTAGGCAGTATCCCTTCTATAAACTACCAATAATCCCCACAAGAGCAGATGCCATCCTTAAAATGATGGAACCTACTTGAATCCCTCACTGTGATTTCCCTTCTAACAATCTTTGAGATTACCTTGATTGCAGCATGGCAGTCTGTGCATGCCCTTAAGTTCTTCATTACCAGTATTGGTGATTCTTCGGCTGTACTTATCAGCGCAAATGCAATTGCTAATCGCTCACTGTGGTACTTAAGAGACTCAATCTTCATTTTCTCGTCTACATCATGAAGTGCACAACTTGTGTCAGGCTTGTAACCTTCCTTCTCCATCTGTTCCGACAATATATCGATCTTTTTCCGGATTTCTTCCATCTGAGGATGTAACATGTCATTTGCTGAGAACACATGATGCTGGTGTCTTATTTCAACCCAGCTATAAGCCGGAACCTTTTTAATCCCACGCTCCTTCATTGCCTTTTTTACCTTCCCAACATTGTCCCACTGGCCGGCTGCTGCATAGATATTAGACATACTGACATAAGCAGCAGCATCTCTAAGCACCTCCATTCTGAATAGCTGGTCTGCTGCTTTCATAGCTAATTCTTGGTTCTTATGTATCCTACAAGAATTTAGAACTGATGACCATATAATCTCATCAGGTTCAAATGGAATTTCAGCCATCATCTTCTCTGCCTCATGAAACCGTCCACTACGGCATAACATATCAACCATCGAAGCATAGTGTTCTTTCTTTGGAACAAGATTATGCATATCAGTCATGGTTCTGAAATATCTCAACCCTTCTTGAACAAGTCCACAGTGGCTGCAAGCAGATAAAACACTGAGGAAACTGACAGAATCCGGCTGGAAACCAGATTGAACCATCTTTTCAAATGTGTCAAGAGTGGCTTTAGCATCCCCATTTTGAGCATGGGCTGAGATCAAGGCATTCCAAGAGACTATATTCCTTTCAGGCATGTCCTGAAAAAGTTGAATAGCATCTTTTATGGAGCCACATTTTGCATACATATCCAGAAGTGCACTTCCTGAAAAAACATTTGACATGAAACCTGATCTGATTATAAACGAGTGAATCTGTTTCCCCACTGATAGTGAAGTCAAATTAGCAGATGCTTTTAAGATGCTAGCAAATGTGGCATGATCTGCTCTTACACCAGATTTATGCATCTCAATGAACAGATTCAGGCCTTCCTCATTGAATCCTCTCTGAACATAGCTTGAGATAATGGCAGTCCATGGAACTGTGCTTCTCTTAGCCAAAGTCCTAAATATCTTTTCAGCAGCTTCAAATCTGCCACATTTCGCATACATGTCAACTAAAGAATTCCCAACCACAAGTTCTGAAGCAGCTGTAGTCGCAATAGTCAGGGAATGGATTTGCTGTCCCATTTTCAGGTCTAGTGCATTAGCTGCTATACTCAACATGGTTGCAAATGGGAATTGCCGCCGGTTAAAGCATGTAAACTGTAATTCATGAAAAAGTCTAATAGCTTCATCATGCTGCGCAAACCACGCATAGCATGCGATGATTATATTGTAAGAAATGCCATCCAAGTCCGTCATCTCGTCAAATAACTTCCTGACTCCAACTAAACAATCATGCTTCGAGTAGAAATCAAGCAATGCATTTCCCACGAAGACATTCCAAACAAACCCGGTCTTCACCAAAAACCCATGAATTTGTTGCCCGAAGGCCAAGTCATTTAATCTAACAGAGGCAGTTAAAACTCCAGCAAAAGTAAAGTCAGAAGGCTTTTAAACCAAGATTTTGCATCTCCAGAAAGAGGGTTATTGCGTCTTCAGTTAGACCATCTTTTGCAAACCCATTGATCATTGCATTAAAAGAAACAGAATCTCTTTCAGGCATGTCAATAAAAATCCGAGAAGCCAAATCAAGATGATTAGTTTTACAATAAGAATCAACCAGCGAATTACATATTAAGAGACTGGAATGGTACCCCAACTTAAGCACGCAAGCATGAACTTGAATCAATTCCTTGTCCGTCTCGGAGTCATTGCAGCCTGATAAAAGAGTAGCAAAAGTCACAGGATCGGGCTGTGTATCATGTCTTCTCATCTCAGCGAAAAGCCTAAAGGCTTCATGGAATTGACTCTTCTGCGAATACCCACCAATCATAATGGTCCAGGTAACCGCATTTTTATCAAGCATGGCATCAAACATGTCCCTAGCTCTCAAAAGATCTCATGATTTGACATAACCCGAAATCATCATGTTTGTAGAGACGGTGTTCCTGTTAGCCATTTTGTCAAACAACTGACGAGCTTCCGAGAGATTGCCCTTTCTGAGGAGGTTGTCAACCATAAAGTTGGAACGGCATGTGTTTCGATCGAAACCCGTTTTGATGCTTCGGGCGTCGATGAAAGTCTCGACATTTTGGGGGGAGATGGGAGGTTTAGAGGGTGAAAGCGAAACAAGGTTTTTAAGTGCAGTGGTTGGTCTGTGTGGTTTCATTAGGAGTCGATCTGAGCGCCTAAATAGTATTTTTAGGATCAATGTGGCACCTTAAAGCCATTTGTTTTGCTCAGTTGCATTGCAGCAATCCCTTTGGATTGCATGGTTCAGTGCGGTGAAAGCCCTGTAAACGTTCGTAACGTTAGACATATATATTATTAACCAGGAAAAAAATTTAAAACGCATAATGAGAGAATATATAGTTTGAACAATTTTTTTATATCAGTATGATCGTTTTTATTCTCAGCTAGAATCATAAACTTGGGCTACATACGGGCCTCAATTAGGCCGATACTTCTAGCATTCACTCCATTTTTGTATATATTATTATCAATTATCGTTCATTCTACTCATCCCCAATTTCCCATACACAAAACCCTAATTATTTTATTTGAATTTCCATTCTAATTATCCACCATGGAAGACAGCTTCAATGCCCGAGTCGGCAAAGTTTTCGGCTCCCTCGATGCTTCCTCTAATTCCAAACCGTTTCCTTTGAGCCCTCTTTGGACCCTCACCGACGACGAAATCGAGAAACGAGAGTGGAACCGAGACAAGAAGACTCTCCAGCAGGACGAGGACGATGATGAGGACGAGGACTTCTTCCACAACTTTCCACCAAAGGACAAGAAGAATGACATTAATTTTGGCGCGGAGCTGGAGAAGGATCTCAATGACCTGGACGACGAGGAAGAAGCTCGTGCGCCCTCTAGTAATCAGGCTAAGCCAGAGGATTACAATGATGAAGAGTGGGAGATTAAGTCTTCAATTGGAAGGGACTGTACACTTGATTATGAGGTTACATTTCCTTTTCCCTCCTTTTTTCTTTTCCTCAATTTACTCAGATGGAATGTTTAAGCTAGTGGATGTATTGGAATATGTTTTGCTCCTAAAAAATGTTATCTTTCACGATTTCAAGGTTCAACTTTTGAATGAATTTTCCACGACTAGCACGTTGAAGAGTTGAATTGGAGTTATTTCAATCATCTCCATAGGAAAAAAATATTAAAAGAGAATTGGTTTAGTTTTTCATATCCAAGTATGTTTTTGTTTGCCTTCATATCAAAGTTTAATTGCAAGTAGGAGATATAAATATTATAAAATTTGCAGAATTCTCAAGCTAATAACCAGAAAAAGCATTTGGGTGTGCTGTGGATGACAGATGCATCAGTTTCACTTGTTAAGAGTTATATGATATATCAGAGTTGCAAGAATTTCGTAGATTTAGGGTCCAGCTCTTATCTGAAATTTTGGTATTGATTATCTTTTTGGGATTCTTGTGCAGGAAGAGGAAGATGCGTATGATAAGGTTGCTGTTGGCAGGGTTAAGAACGGAGAACGTCTTTACATGAAGGATGTAAATGATTATGACATAGATGCGGATTCTGGCAATGTACTTCCAACTGCATTCAAGGATTTCTGTAGAGATCCACGTGCCAATCACATTGCTGCAAAACTTAGGCTTAAGGAAGATGAAGAAGCTGCCAAGACAAGGGTTGAAGAAGATGCTGAAACTGCTAAAAAAATTGATTCGTTGCATGTGTCTGATGGTGTTGCAACTGTTGATGCGGAGGCTCACATTAGCACATTTGAGGATGGTAACCTGAAACCCATTCTGAAGAGAAAGGGTGCTGAATCAAATTCAAAATTACAGAAACGTGTCCGTTTTGATTCTGAATGTTGTAAAAGTGATTGCAGTGAGGGCCCTGAAAGAACCAACGATGTTCCTGGGGAAGCTTGCTTGACAGAGGAAGAAGATGATATGGTCTCCAATGAGGTATCTACTTTATCTCAGGATTACCCGTCTGGAATTCCAGATTATATGTGGAACCCTTCGAAGTATACTCGATATACTTTAGACACTGATGATGTTGATGATGAATCAAATCGGTCAGCCTATATGGATTTCCTTAAACTGGTTAGGAGGTCAGATGGTGCAGAACCACATGCTGATGATGCTCCAGTTGATCTTACAAAACCAGTAACTTTTATACCAAGGAGGAAAATTGCTGATGTAGTCATGGGAGAAAGTTGCGGTGAGCCAAAACAAACCCGGGAAAGTACTGATAAGGAGCCCACGCATAAGAGAGGCTTGCCAATTGGAATTGCAGCTGAAGATACCGGTGACGGAGTTTGCACAATGGATGAAGATGAACCGCAAGCAATCATTGAGAACAGGAACAGCTCCCAGAGAGCAGGCCGTCAATATCGAATGAAATCTTGCTCAGAGTAGCATGATTAGCTTTTGATCGTCTAATGCTATACTGACTTGTAACTGTTTCAGTATGTCGGCAGGGCAAGCATGTCTGTCATCAGCAAGATAAAAGGAAAGATTAAAAAGAAGAGCTGATATGTTACATATATTCAAGGTTTATTTGGCGAGTTTCATTCTTTTTCTTTGATTTTCTTTTTGGTTATTTTTTGAGTCTTATGACTGAAAAAATAGGGATTAAAATATTAATGTTAAGTGGGGAGCAATGTGTCTGATTCGATTCAGTTTATCAGATGAAATAGTGGTTGATGAAGGAAATTAAAAGTTTAAGGTTAAATTATAAAAGAAATAAAAGTGAGTTTTGCACGATAAATATTTCAAAAGCCTTTAATAGTGAAAATATTATTCACTTATGTGATATAGAAATTGGTAGTTTGATGAGTCTTCTATATTTTGTAATAATGAAATATATGTTATAATATTAATTTTTTTAATTAATGTTATAATATTAGTTAATTGTGTTAAAAGATTTCAAGACTTATAACCTCTCAAACAAGTTGAAAGAAGAGACGGAATTTTGTTCATCTTCTTAAAACCATCAAATAATCATATCATTGGATATTCAATTTTAATAGTGAGAGAAAGCTTTGAAATTTTCAAAGAGGAAAACCAAGAATACTATAGAGATCGCAAAAGCACTATTACCATGCATAAGAATAAACCACCACCAAAACCATGAATTCATACAAACCCTGGAAAACTTATAGATGTTGCACCTACCAATTTGCCGGGTAAATGAGATACAATAGAATCAATGCAGAATGCGGATACATATACATGTATGCATGCATACATACGAAACAACAATTTCAGCACTTAGAATAACCGCTTCCTGCAACCTTCTGCTCCACAATAGCCTGCCATCCTTTTTACCTTCCCATCAGAACCATATACGCTATCAAGGGCATACCCATAGTCATAAGTAAGCTCCTGCAAGCAAGATTATAGAAAATGGTATCCAATCACTCTAAACTCCATCCAAAATAAATATCCAGCTAAACCAAGTGGAGAAAATATAAAGAAATCGTACTAATACTTATTGATATTTCAATGATGCATGGGATCTAAAAGTTAACTCGTGCTCCAAATATTATCATAATTTTTGAAGCAACATACAAGAAACTATGCTAAAATAGAGAAATCGATGCTGAACATGTTCCCAAGAAATTTAAAAGGTGATTCACTCTCCCCACATCAGAATTGGAGGAAAATTACCTGCAAAGGAGGGATGTTGTCTGCTGCAAAGAGCATCACTCGAGCTAGTTTAACATCGTGATGTGAACTCAAGACATACTGGATAAAAAGATTAGGCTCACAGCTATGATTGATAAATCTTGCAATATTTCCAATAGAACCTGCGTCAATGCAGAAATCGGGCACATTCTCTGATATCTGTTCATCGATTTTGTCCACATTCTGGATCACCGGCAAAGATCCATCCTGCTGTGGCCTCCGTCAAGGAAAAGAAAAATATTAATTACATTCCTACATGCAGGCAAAAACAACTTACGACTTCAAAGCAGTAAAACCAAGTATATCACAGATCAGAAAGATGATGTTTCATTAAAAGAAATGATTCCCTATGAACTTCAATTTATTGTTGGATGGGACCCTTTGGATGTCACTATAAGACCGAACAAAACACTCAAACATAAAGCTAGATGCGTCACAAAGCTCTAAAGAGGTCAGTTATACCTCTCTGCCACCGAGCCCTCTCATAGTTTGCAAGCAATCAATTTCAAAATATAATTATTCTCAGAGACACTATCAAGCTCTTCTGTCCTCGTGAGTTCTCCGATATATTCACAAACTGGGGCACCAGCAGGTATAAAATCCCAAGACCTAACAGCCCATCCTTTCTTCGAGTACGGAAGACCTGCAAATTCAGGTCAGTCGGGTTTTATTCAAGAGATGTTTCAACCAGAATTCATCACATGATTAAGAAAAGAAATGAAAAAAAGAAATTATTCTTAATGTAATAAGAAACCTCAAGTCGATATCTCAATCCTCTCTGAGATGTACGATTTACGCAAGTTGGACCACAGCCACAGTTAGGACCACATTCAAAAACAACATGCTTGGCTTCAATTAATCTGGAATTGAAGAAGTGGAAGAGTGCTAATAAGCAAGAAACTTAAACAATAAGATTAAAGAGGATGGCATTAGCCATTAAGACTTCTTATTCCAAAAAAATTACCTGCCACCGTCACGGTGCACATAAGGAAAATCAAAACCATTAAGCCTGGCACATTCACAAGTCTTGGGATCCCAGCAAGCTCCCTCGCAATTGCATCCAGTCGCATTAGCAGGGAGCTTTATATTCCATGCAACTTTCATAGACTTGGAATACGTGTAACCTGAAAAACAAAGAAAAAAATGAAATATACCAATTTATTATGCACAGCATTGCATCAAATGGAAACTATCTTTTAAAAAGATTGAACAAAGTAAGAGAAAAGACAGAAAGTGATAGGTAAAAGTTAAGAAAAGAGTACCAACAGCATAAGAAAGGTGCAAAACAATTGTGCAAGTGGAAAATAGTTAGTGTTAACTGATGATAGAAGGGAAAATCACTTAGAAACGAGGATGGTTGGACCTTCAAAAAGGACCTCTTTCAGTAGATCACACTGCAAAGCCGACTAGGAGAAAGATCAGCAAGGGGAATCAATCAACTATTTATTCACATGTAATGTGGTTTACAAGAACTCATGCTGAAATTGCAGAAGACAAAAAGTGCAAGATTTAGAAAATAATGGTGGATGATGTCTTTGATCTGGATCATAAGATGAGACATCAATACTGCTGAATTAAAATAATTGGCCAGAAGCCAACAAACCCCCATGTCATGAGAAGAGCAAATCTCTTGTTGTGAAACTAGTATTCATTCTTACAGCCAAATTATATTAGTAATATACTATTGATTAGATTTAGATTGTGCATGAAAATCAACATGTTAGAAAATCGAACTTGCCTGTCGGTGCAACAGGTGGATCATCAACCAAATTAGTAGCAGGAATAGGATCATAAAGTCGGAATAACTTGTTTCGAATAAATCATTTTTATTTCTGCCGAATATGGCTTACTTAAATAGAGTTTATAATGTAACAACTTTACATAAAAAGATGCATAAAATTAGCAACAGAATAAAATTGATTCTATCTAATTAAAACATATCCTATCTAATAACTAATAGAATAAAAACTGATTCTATCTAATTAAAACTGATCTTATCTAATAACTAACATAAAAAAAAACTAGTTAACAATCCTAATAATTAATTTAGATATTCTCGACACCCCCCCTCAAGCTGGAGAATAGATATCGATCATTCCCAGCTTGGACAGAAATCCTTCGAACATCGTAGTAAACAGTCCATTGGTGAGAACATCGGCGAGCTACTCTGATGATGGAACAAACAGTATGCAGATATCGCCATTTTCCAGCCTCTCCTTGATGAAATGTCGATCTATTTCGACATGTTTGGTCCTGTCATGCTGTACAGGATTCTAAGCAATACTGATTGCCGATTTGTTGTGGCAATACAACTTCATCGGTTTATCTCCTTCAACCTTCAGCTCCTCCAAGATTCTCCTAAGCCATAACAGCTCACATACTCTTTGCGCCATGGCTCTGAACTCGGCCTCCGCACTGTTCTAGAGACAACTGGTTGCTTCTTGCTCCTCCAAGTAACTAAGTTGCCCCAGACAAAGGAGCAATAACCGGTGGTAGATCTTCTGTCTGTAGAACTTCCGCCCCAATCAGCATCAGTGAAGATCTCCACTCTTCGACTTCCATTCTTCGAAAATATGATTCCTTTACCCGGACTCCCTTTCAAGTAATGAAGAATCCGGTAAACCACCTTGGAGTGTTTTTCTGAGGGACAATGCATAAACTGACTAACCAAACTCACAGCAAATGCAATATCTGGTCTCGTATGAGCCAAATAAATCAGTTTCCCCACCAGCTTCTGATACCGATTCTTGTCCACAGGCTCAGCACCATCTTCTTTTTCGAGTTTTTATTCGGATCAATAGGAGTTGCCACTGGTTTACATCCGAGTAATCCGGTCTCTTTCAAGATATCGAGGACATATTTCCTTTGCAAGATAATTATACCTTTTGAGGATCTATCCACCTCCATTCCAAGGAAATATTTGAGTTGTCCTAGATCCTTGACTTCAAACTGGTTGGATAAGAAGTTCTTCAGCGACTTCAACTCTACTGTGTCATCTCCTGTCATAACAATGTCATCTACATACACAATTAAAATAGCAATTTTACCATTATTGTGTTTGTAGAACATAGTATGATCGAACTAGGCCTGAGTGTAATCATGTTGTTTCACAGCTCTCGTGAATCTCTCGAACCAGGCTCTCAGAGATTGTTTCAATCCATAAATGGATTTCTTTAGCTTGCAGACCATGCCATCCTTCTTCAATTCATCAAAGCCTGGAGGAACTTCCATAAACACCTCTTCCTCTAGCTCACCGTTTAGAAACGCATTCTTCACATCAAACTATCTGAGTCCAATCCAGATTGGCGGCTAGTGAGAGTAGGACACGTACGGTGTTTAGTTTGGCCACAGGAGCGAAGGTTTCCTCGTAGTCAAGGCTGTATGTCTGAGTGAAGCCTCGTGCTACGAGTCTTGCTTTGTATCTCTCGACCGAGCCATTTGCATGGTATTTGATGGTGAACACCCACTTCCTGCCTACAGATCGTTTCTCCTCAGGTAAAGAAGTTAGATCCGACGTTCAATCTTCTTCAGGGCCTTTAACTCCTCAAAAACTGCCTCTCCATCTCGAAACATCTAGAGCTTCATGTATCGACTTAGGTAGTTCATCATCCATAATCCTGGTGGAAAAAGCTTTGAAATCTGGAGAGAGTTTATGATAAGACACGAAATTGGATATTGGATGTTTTGTGGTACATGATCTGACACCTTTGCGCAAGGTTATGGGTTCAAAGAATTCTGTAGAAGGCTCTAAATTTGGAGAAGAAAGAGAAGTCGTACCTTGGACCATAGTCGAGTCCGATGGTTGGCATACCTTGGGAGTCGGTGGAACATTACTTGGTCGA